TGCCGGTGGCGCAGGGGAAGGGGGCGATGGCGCAGCTGCTGTGGCGCCCTCCGAGAGCTAAAAATACTTCCCCGCAGAGACAGACGAAAGGAGACGCCCGAGGAGACTCCATTTACTGGGGAGTGGGTGCAGTTGGTCAGACCCCAAGAAGAGGAGGGGACGGGGAGCCCGAGGACAGAAAAGGACCGGTGTCCTTAGTCATACGGGACGCTGGGACCTCGAAGCCGGGGGGTGGGGGGGTTCTGGGAGGGGCCGGAGATGGAACTCCAGTGCCCCGCCCTCGGCACGAGGAGCTGGGGCTGCCCCAAGGGACTTCGAGACGAGGGCCGGTCTGGGGTCTGGCCTGGAGGCTCAAATCTTCTCGTCGGGGGCCGGCAGGCGCTGGCGGGAAGGCTCCACGCCCCAGATCTCGCGCGCGTACTGGGCGATGGTGCGGTCGCTGGAGAACTTGCCAGAAGTGGCTATGTTCCGGATCACCATCCGCGTCCACTCCCGCGGGTTCTGCGGGTCAAAGGAAAGCTCTAGATTCGCTTCCGCCTCCCCCGGGCCAGGGCCACCGAGGCCCTGCCAACCCCTGGCCCAGGAGTCCTCACCTTGTACAAGGCACTGACTTTCTCCTGGCATTTAATGTAGTCTTCGTAGTCTGCAAATACCTTAAACCTGGGGGGGGAGGGTAGGCGTGAGTCATCCCCCCTTTAAGGGGCAAGGATAAGCTCGACAAGGCCAAGGGTCAAGGCCGTTCTGTCCCTGGGAACCTGGAGAGTGATGCTGCTTCCAGAAGCACCTGGCTCCAACCGCCAGGACCCCATCCAGCCTCCCCACCCCTGCCGGAGCCCGGTGCAGCCTGGCAGCCCCACCTGCGCGGTCCCCTGGCCGGCCGGCTCACCGGTCATGGTGCATGAGCATGTTGACAATGTCCTTGAACAGGTCGGGCTGTTTGGGGGAGAAGAAGCCACTGCTCAGCTGCTCAATGATCTGCCGGAGCTCAGGAATGCGGTCGTAGTACTCCTGGGCGTTGTACCTGCAGGGCAAGCATGGTTGGTCCTCCAGAGGAAATCCGGACTCCAAGCCCCAGGGTCCAAACCCCAGGCCTGACCAGCTTCAACCCTCCCTGGGGCTGCTACGCCCCCCTGCCCCAGGTCCTCCCTGGCGGGCCCCTCCCCTCTCTGCTCAATTTTTCATTCCCCCATTTGTGGATGAGGCAACGAAGGCCTGGAGGAGACAGACAAGCACACAACAGGCACACACCACTGCTGCCTCCTGGCCAGTTTTCCTCTGTGAGTGGCGTTTCTCCCCCCTGCCCCAAGTCCTGATCTGGCCTTGCCCTCCGGGTCCTGGAGGGGCTCCGAGTACATCCTCGGGTGTGTCCCTTACTCTTGGATTGTCCCACCGACCCTCAGACCCCTCCCCATCCTGGTTCAAAACCCTCCCCAAGGCCAGCCTCACCTCCTTTCCTCCTGGTCCCCTTCCAGCAAGAAACCAAGGCCTCCTCCCCAGGGTGTCTCATGCCTGTCCCTTGAGCTGCCCTGCTGCGGGGAACCCTCACCCCTACAGTGCACCCCACACTGGTCCCCACCTGCCCCTCCGGCCCAGCCGTCACCCCGCAGGCAGAAATTTCTTTCTGGGCCCTAGTTCTGAACACGTGGGACTTTGCTCGAAACACTTTGCAGCCCCCACCAGCCCACAGGACGGAGTCTGAGCTTTCTAGACAAGCCTCACAGGAGAAATTCCTCTCGGGATTCAGTGCCAGCTCTCGTAAGCTGTTGGTGGGAGTGTAAACTGGTAGAAACTTTCTGGAAAGCAATTTGGCAATCTGTATCAAGAGTCTTAAGAACACATATTTTGACTTAAAAATATCCCCCTTCTAATATTCTTCAGGAAACCACCAGGATATGGACCCAGATGTTAAAAAGTAACTCATCACAGTAATATTTAGACTAACAAACAGGGAAAATGAGCCTTCATGTCCAGCCATATGGAATTGACTAAGTTATGGCAGGTTCATAACGCTGGAACGCTATACAAACATTTAGAACATTTTAAGTTCATGACCTGCCTGGGCAACTTGGTGAGACCTCATCTCTACATAAATCAAAAATTAGCTGGGCGTGGTAGCATGTGCCTGTAGTTCCAGCTGCTTGGAAGGTTGAGGAGGAAGGATCACCGGAGCCCAGCAGGTCGAGGCTGCGGTGGCTGGCAGCGGCCACTGCACTCCAGTCTGGGCGACAGAGTGAGACTCCAACTCAAAAAAAAAAAAAAATGCTGTACTA